TCCCTCAACCCTCCAGTGTTGTGATGGCAGGGGGACTCACGTGCTGTTGTCGTTAATGTCGGCCTGTATCATCAGCGTCTCGGTCAGCGCAGTGTAGAAGAAGCTCTCCACATTCAGAATGTCCCCAATCATCTGCAGTGCTCCCTGACTCAGGTTTCCCTCACGCTCCAGATATTCCTGCAGGAAACGAGGAGAGTTCAATCAGCCCTGTCTACTACCCCGGTTATCCATTGCAGAAAAACCCAGAGGAAGCAGCCTATCTCTGGTTCATAATCACAGAGCCTCATTTACTTGCTTCATGCATTCGTGGTCGCTGGAAGTAGCACAGAAAACAAAGCAGGAACCTGCACTAAAAACTGCGAGCAAGAAAATAAAGATAAGATTTCACATGAAGAGTGGTTTAAAATCTGCGAATTTCAATGGAGAGGTATGCATTCCCATTTATTAAGAGAGAGTTTTGCTGGAAAAATATTGTTAAATTCTTAATTACTCTGAAGCAGAAGGCACACCATATTGGGGAAAATTCTAAATGTTGTGAAACCCAAGAAGGTAATCTTTGGCGTATATTCTGGGAGTGCCCTAAAATAAGGCCTTTCTGGGTCGATTTACATGGGGCCTTGGAAAACATATATTGAAAGAAATTTACCCTTTATATTCGAAGTTCTATATTTTGGCCAGTTGGATTTTCACTTAAGTACATTAAGCCTTTGAGGTCTGAATTTGCAAAGATACAGAATACCTGAAACTAGAATTAAGAATGTATATCAACATAATTTTTCCCCTCTTCATAGTCATAAAAGATGTATATATCTTCCATATTGTGAATGTATATAGTCCTGTTTAGAAGTAAAATAATTGTAAAATATTAAGAGAACAGATAAGAGTAGACTAAAGTTTCCTGTGTGATGTACAGTGGTAGATTTGTATTATAAAAGGATTGATGTGTAATGTCATCTGTATTTAAAATTGTGCTGTCTGTTTCTCTAAAATAAAAAAAATAGAACCGTGAGCAGCCCTGAATACCAACCCTTGCCCAGATCCTGGCAAGAGTTTGGAAAATATAAGAAAGCAAAACAGAATAGTTTAAATAGGAGTGAGAGTCTACGACTTTCGTACACGACACTGCTGCTGTTGAACTGAATCAGCTCTTACTTTCACGGAATAGGCGTCGTACTTCTTCATAATCTTCTTACAGTCATAGTGGCTCTTCTTCAAGTCATCCCTGATCTGCAACAACAACAAAAAAGAGTTTGCAGGTGAAGATAACAACCTGCGTCAAAGCAATAGAAAAGCAGTGAGGATGTGAGAAGTAAGTCTGATACTATACGATGAGCATTTAGTTAAGTGTGCAAAGGAACAAGTAATAGGTTTACTCCAGGCTGAAAATAGAAGAAAGAAAACACAACGTTTCGGCTGTGGAGCCTTCTTCCTGAGCTACTTAAGTTAAGTGTGTTGTGCACTCATCGTAATCGGCATTAATAGGTAATAAGATTGTGCACTAATCGTAATCGGCATTAATAAGTAATAAGATTGTACACTAATCGTAATCGGTATTAATAACTACTAAGATTGTGCACTAATCGTAATCGGCATTAATAAGTAATAAGATTGTGCACTAATCGTAATCGGCATTAATAGGTAATGAGATTGTGCACTAATCGTAATCAGTATTAATTAATACTAAGATTCGTGCATTAAGTTAATGCTCTAATCGATGACGTAACAGATAAGCCGGTAGGTTCCCGCCTGGCCTCCTGCGAAGGCTGGATGAACCCCGTTTATTAGCCAGGGGAAGAACGGGGTTTCCCTCGGTGTCGACCCCTCCCCCCTCACCTTCCAGAGGGCCATGTCGAACAGCTGGGCGGCGCTCCTGCCCCTCTCCCGCGCACTCACGGGGTACCTCAGCACATCGGGGTTGTTCTCCACTGTGTACGTCTTGCTCTTCACCCCGTTGACATAGTAGTAGGTGTTGATGTCGTCCTGGAAGAACTTGTTGACTGGCACTCCCAGTTTCTCAATTATCGCCAGGAGAATCCTGCCAGAAGACAGGGATCTCTGCAGCTTAGTTGCCATTCTCAATGTTTTGAAGAACAAAGTATTTTGAATTATTTGACGTTGAATCACCGTTGTGCTCATTTCTGACTGTAAAAAAAGCTAGCACCTGCTGCTTTAAAGAACCACGCGATCAGAACTGACACCAGAATCCTACAAGCGCGGCAGATGAAATAAAGTTCATGGATGATGAAATAAAGTTCTATTTTCACATCAACACGATCCATTTTCAGCTCCTGCACAGATTATTCTGCCGACACAGAAACATACATTTTAGTATTGTGGAGTCAAACACTCTTGGACTTCTGCCCTGTCCAGCACAGTGGTCTCTGGGTCAGTATTCTGACCCCTAACCTTGTCAGAACAGTGGCCTCTGTCCCAGTCGGTATTCTGACCTCTAACCT